TTCCAGACCTCATCTCTACAATAAATCAAAAAATCAGCCGGGCGTGGTAGCGCGCGCCTGTAGTTCCGGCTACTCGGAAGGCTGAGGCGGAAGGATTGCCGGAGCCCAGCAAGTCGAGACTGTGGTGGCCGGGAGCGTCCACTGCACTCCGGTCTGAGCGACAGAGTGAGACTCCAACTCAAAAAAAAAAAAAAAATTACAAATTAAAAAGCAGTACAGCATAACAACTGTTTACATAGCATTTCCACTGTCTTAGGTATTGTAAGTAATATAGAAATGACTTCAAGTATACAGCAGAATGTGCTTAGGTCATATGCAACTTCTACGTCATTCTTTAATCAGGGACTTGAGCATCTATAGATTGTGGTATCTAAGGGGGTTCACAGAAACGATTCCCCATGGATACCCCAGGGAGGAATGTATTATGTTCTTGGACATTAAGGGGAAAGAATGTTAAGAAAACGATTTAGGCGGGGCCCGGTGGCTCAGCCTGTAATCCCAGCACTTTGGGAGGCCGAGGCAAAGGACTGCCTGAGCCTAGGGCTTCGAGGCCAGCCTGGGCAACTGGTGAGACCTCATCTCTACAATCAATCTAAAAAAATTAGCCGGACATGGTGGCGTGCATCTGTAGTTTCAGCTCCTTGGAAGGCTGAGGTGGAAGGATCACCAGAGCCCAGCTGGTCGAGGCTACGGTGGCGGTGAGCGTGCCACTACCCTCCAGCCTGGGCAACAAGAGTGAGACTCTGACTCAAAAGACAAACAAACAACCAATTTAGTCTCTCTCAGTAGGCATAAACACATGTGTGCACACACACAGTGACATCCGCTGGCTCAGGTCTGCCACTTTCCTGGATCCATATGGATCTCCACGAGTGAGTGCTAAGGAGTTGGCTCAGTCCTGGATTTGGGTCTGAGAGTGAAACAGAATGGTTTCTGGAGATCTGAAGAGTCTGGCCGTAGAAGTGACAATAGCCAGATTCCTGCCACTAAAGCTCACTGGGATACGAAGCATACTGCCTTGTGAGATTTCCAGATGCGGTCCTAGTAGAGAAAGTGGAAAAGGTGTTCTCCTGATACACTTTTGTGATGGTTGTAGGAGAAGGAAGATTCTAAAGCGAGAAATATTGGTGAATAAGGAGATTTGCAGTGCTTCTAAATGAGGGAGCTATGGGCACTGGGGTGGCACAAGTTTTGTCACTTAGGACTTCGTTATTTAGGACTATCCTGATATCTACTCACTCACTGTCACTCATGCCCCAGCCATTGTGACTAATTAACATTTTCCATCTTCATTCTCCAAATGCCCCCTGGGCCCGGGGCAGGGTTCCTAAACTGATTACAGGTTAGCAGGGACCCTGGTTTGCTTGGTCTTGACAGCATTTATAAAAATATTTAGTCTGGGTGTCTTTTGTTTGAATATTCACTCTTCAGTTTGTCACTGGTTTTTCACATTTATGCTCCTTGCCTTTCTCCAGAGGACGTTTGACTTTTCTGTCCTTGGGTAAGCAAACCTCAAGCTGCAGATGGTAAGGGAAGGATATCCTTAGATTATTTTGCCAGACTTCTATCTGCTGAAAAACAAAGTGTCCACTTAAAATCTCAAGAGCAAACCAAAGTGTACAGACCCAAATCCCATCTATGAAAGAAACCAAAGTGAGCTCATCTTCTTGTTTTTTTTTTTCTTTTCTTTTCTTTTTTTTTTTTAGAGCCACATATAGTAACTGGACTCGGCCTGAATGTTTGTGGAAGCATAATATGTGGATATTGCTGTGCAAGAATCATGCAGACTATATGGACTGACCTTTTTAACACAATGCTGACTAATATCATTCTCTGCTTTTCAATGGTGTACATGACTTTCTACATGGGTAAGGCAGAAACAAATAACAAAAAATGCTGTCCTCAAAGTAAGCTTATGTATACGTCTATTTTTTCCTAATCATTAGTCCAGTTACTTCTTCCCAACATCTTCCCCTTTTTATGGCCCCTCTGTGTATCTTTATTATTTTACCGTCATATCTAGCTCTTTCCTGGTATCTCTTAATATCTTCTTTATCTCAATTTTTTATTCCTTTCCCTTGCACTCTTATTCTTTTGAGCTGTATTTTTTACCCAGTCACTGGCAGTCCCCTGGTGGAGGAATCAACACTGAGTTAATTCATGCTCTGACTCTGAGCAACACATCTGCAAAATGAGAAAATTGGGAGAGATGCTTCTGGGTCTTTTCTAGTTCAACAGCCTTTTTAATGCAGTGGATACCAAACTGAGAGGTCTATTACCTTGTCTGAGGCTGGTAGACAGAAAATCAAGTATATGTCTGGAAGGAAAGCAAGAGAATGGAGTAGTCAGAAGAGTAAGAACACCCAGAACTGGCTGGAATTTAGCTGGTTCAGTTCGGTGAAATTGGGCATTAAAGTGTTTACTGGCCTGAGGGAACCCATACTCAAGAGTCATAGTAACTGTGGCCAGACTTTCTAATTCTGCTTTTGCTCTCATCTCAGTGAAGCAACTTCCACCTGTGAAAGGCCTCAGGTGTCAAGAGAGTCTTACTCCTGTTTCACCTCTAGCACTGCTCCCTCTACAGATAAATTGTTGTCTAGGGGTTGCTCACTCCCATGAATCAGTAAAATTATAGAAAACATTGACTGAAGGTTCATTTCTTTCAACTTTCTTCATTTCTTTCCTTTCTGTGAAGCTTTATAGTTGCTTAAATTTCTGAAAATGTTTAAAAACAATGTAATGTCTCTCTATTAGACTGTGAATTCCTTGAGGTGGACTATCTCTTAGTCATTTTTAAAATTTATTCTCTTTTCTAAGTTCAGAGCTTGCCGTATGCCTGATAGCAATTTAACACATGTCGATTGAAAAAAAACTAATATTAGTCCTTGTAGAGCTTTGGAATTAGGCGGACTTAAGGTCAAATTCCAGCTCTGCAATGTATTAGCTTGGTGACCTTGGAAAATTACTTAACCCCTCTAAGTTTCCATTTCTTCATCTTGAAAAGTAATATACTACCACTTGATTTGTGGAGGGTATCCCAGGCATTCATGAGATGATGTGTGTTATGTGACTTGCTCATCCTGGTGTGAGATAGCTTCTACTGGCTTGTGAGAGCTGACAACGTGCATCTCTTTCCAACTCTGTTCAAGTAGTCGTGTTGGTAGCTTGAAGTTGGCCATGGTGAGAGTGTTCATACCCGCTCCAAGCTGGGTTTTTCTTTTAATTTTTTTTTTCTGTTACTTGTATAATTACAGAGAAAAGAGCTGATTTTAAACATTTATCAGCACACCACTGGGCTCAAGGTAGGGTGGTCAGTAAATGTGGGTTTTCTTCCCCTTTCCTTCTGAAAACTGGAGATGTTCTAGTCAATGCTTGGTATCCTCCCAGTCAGATGTATATGAGTGTGAATTGAGGGCAGGGAGTAGGAAGAGATTCCCTTGAGTCTTTTAGCATCATTTCCACATTAGAAGAGTCCCAGGCCTGACATACGCTTCTCACTTTGGGATAGGGTTGTCGGCTGGAACACTATGGATTCTTTATGCTCGTTCAGTTATGTAACCAAACAGCTTGATCAACTCAGTTCAATTGAATTTAAATAAAATGCTTACCAAAAATGCATTTAAGCATTATGAGGTCTAATTATTTGTGCTAACTGAACAGCATAATAAAATATTTGCACGTGATTTCTGTGAAGACATTTGATTCACACACCTGTAGAGTGAAAGATCTTTAAGAAATTAGTCATTTGTGACATAATAGGTTTGGGAGGGTGTAGAGATCTGAGTCACGACCTTGGTTCTAGTCTTAGCTCTACCCCCAACTAGCTATATTACTTTAGAGGAAGACTTTAGCTTTTTGGGGGCCCCAGTTGAGAAGATTGGGTTAGGCAGTGGTAGGGTAGTAAACTGGCTCTCTGAGGAGAGAAAAGCCCTGACTTGTAGTGTTTGCCAATTTTAATGGTATAAATACTACCACCATGGCTGATTTCAAGGATGACTTTAGTCAACAACTGGCTCACAAAATTACTGAAAATTTACTTTCCTGAGAAGATACTAGGTCTCTAAAAATCAATCTTAAAAAGACAGGGACTTTAAAAGACAAAAGTTTTGCCTCTGAAATTGTAGCTGCCACCTGTGCAGAGGAAATATCTTTACTTTGGTTGCACTTGTTCAGGTAAAACTTACTGCAGAGTGTGAATCACTGAGAGAAGGTAGGAATTTAGCTTAACTACTCAGGCTTAAATAGTATATCCCAGAATCAGGACTCTTGTGGGCTATTAATACTGATTTCAGCCAGTGATTCTCTGTAGCTTCAAGGCAGCACTGTGCTCAAAATCAAAGCTTACTTAGCAAATCCTAACTTAATCCATTGGAAGTTATCACCCTCACTAGGCTTGCCTTGTTAAAAAAAAAGCGTCAAAACTTGCCAGGTAGCCTCCTGTTATTGGTTGAATTGCATTCCCCCAGAGATATTGAAATCTTAACCCCCAGTACCTGTGCAGGTACCTTATTTGAAAATAGGGTCTTTCTAGATGTTCAAATGAAGATGAGGACATTAGGTAGCCCTTAATCCAACGGGACCATGTCCTTTATAAGAAGGGAAAATTGTATGCACATAGAGAGAGGATGCTGTGGCCTGCTACAGCCAGGGACACCTGAGGCTGCCAGAAGCTGGGAGAGAGGCCAAAGCAGATTCTCCCTCACAGCCCCTAGAGGGAACCAACTAGGTTGACATGCTAATCTTGGACTTCTGGTCTCCAGATCATGAGACAAAATCTTTCTGTTGTTTAAGCTGGCTGGTCTGTGGTACTCTTGTTATGGCAACCCAAGAAACAGATACACCTCCTACGCTTTCCTCGCTTCAAAAATTAAACAAACACTGCAGCAGTCTTTTACTCTACACTTAAATTCCTGACAGCAAAGTCAGAAACAGGCTGTGTTTTCAAAAATTTGATTTTATTTACTTTAATAGCTTTAGGAGTCCAAGTGGTTTTCGTTTATATGGATGCATTGCATAGTGGTGGAGTCTGGGCTTTATGTGTACCCCCACCCCACTGCGCACATTGTCCCCGCTACGTGATTTTTCATCCCTGCACCCTTTCCCACCCTCTTCCTTTTTAGTCTCCAATGTCCATTAGAAACAGAAACCGTTAATAAGTAGAAGGTCTATTGCCAGAAAGCTGAAGCACAGTGTTCTCATTCACACATCCTCTAATGATCCGTTTCTGCCATGTTGTCTAACTATGTTCTCTTCCTTCACTGATGAACACACCATCAACCAGTCTAAGTCCAGGGAGCATCTGACTGAGGCTAGAGAGTCACCTCTTCGGGCACATATAGTTATTTCTGTTTCTGTCTCTTCTGTGTTAAAGTCAAGAAACCTGGACTTCTAGCAGTCACTGATACCAGCACATTCGTTCCATTCCATGAAGTCAAATAGTCACAAAATTGCACAGACATTGCTACACAGACAAAGGAGGCATTGCTTCTGGAACATTGCTGACTGACAGGTGGTGCAGATAGGAATATTAATGTGTTAGTCCATGGCATGAAGTTTGAATTTAGTATACAAAAGGCACTTTAAGAGTGTTGATATACAACTCATGAAAGAGTGTAGGTTCTATAAAAGCCTAGGCTAGAGGCATTCCAAGAGGCATGGTGGGGAGGGTCTATCATAACAGGGAGGAATATTTTCATCAAATGGCATTTATTATAATTTCTGGGGAATGGCGATAATAAAAAGCAAGTTTATAATTGTTTCAAAAGTTTACAAACAGTGCATTTCCTTCTTGCCTGTAACTGGGGCTGATAACTCCCACTGTCCCTTCTTTATAAAATACTAATCATAGAAAATTGGAAATAAGAGAGTTTCCTTGTTACAGAACTGCTGTTTTTACTGTCATTGTGATGCCAAGAGAAGGGGTGCCCCTTGCAGTGTGAAGTGGTCAGTGACAGGTTCTTGTGTTCACATTTGTAATAAATGCACAGACACAGAGAAGCAAGAGGAACAAGTGACTTTACTAAGCAAAGAAGAGCACACAGGAAAGTGGACAGAAACAGCCTACAGAAAGCTGCTGCTTCTGTACCTGACTCTTGTTGAACTATAACTTTTATTCTTAGGGATACTGAGGAGTGGGTTTTAGGGTGGACTTTTCCTAGAAATGGGTGGTCTTGGGTCTGAGTCTCTGTTTTTCCTCCCTCATGTCAGGAAGGGGAGTTTTAAACCTTGTAGAGTCATACTGGTACCGGGGTCATGGTGTCTGGTATAGGATGGAACCCCTAGGGTAATTTTATGCTAATAGTACTACAATTAAGGTTTTTAAGATTATCTTAGGTCAACATTGGCTATCGATGCCCGTGCTCCCAGAGCTATCTAAGCTAGCTTCTGCCTTGGTGGTTGGCTCTCCACCACAAGCATCCTGGATAGACAGACTACAGCGCTGTAGGTATATCTGATAAGGGCCCACAGCTGTAGAAACTTCAGCTAAACCACTGGATTTTATGCATGGTTCTGCACCAACTGCTACAGGTGTCGGTGAACTTGAAACTTTCCTACAGTCCTGAACATTTTCCTAGTCTAGCCTGCCCCCTCTTTCAATTGGTTATTTAAGTTAAATTCAATTAAGTGGAACAAGTCTAAAAAGAAGTCTAACATGAACTTAAGTGATTGATTAGATAAACCAAAGGAATAATAAAATCCTCTTTAAATTAATAAACGGTGTTAATTTACTAAGCAACAAAGTGAATAGATAAAAACAAGTAATAGCATAATATTGATGATCATTTATTTATTGCTTTAAAGAATGCCAAGCACTCTTTTTCTCTGGTTTAGTCTTCACAACTCCATGGGCATGACTACATTACCCTTGTGTTACAAATGCAGGGCACTACGGGAGGAAGGGAGGTCACATTCCAGGAGCAACCAGTTCTGCCTGGCCCCAACGCTCTTCCAGTCCTACCCTTCACATCCTTTCTCTTCCTTTCTGTCTGCTGTTTTAAATGTGCTGTTTGAAGACTCTGCAGCCTAAGACTGTTGGTTTTCAAACATTCTGCATGACTGGTTTTCCTGCCTCAGACTACATTTACACATTTGTTTAGAGACCAGTGTATAGCTTTAACTGGGAAGGTCTATATCTGGCAAAAGAAAATCAGACTTCAGAAGCTGAAGTCACCCAAGAAGCCCTCAGCTTAGCTCACAACTCTCAGCACAACTAGGACAATGCCCCTGAGGTGCTTAAGGGACTCCCTAAGGAATGGTCTGCAGCAGAGGTTGGCAAACTGCTGCTGTTGGGCCAAATCTGCCTATTTTTATACAGCTAAGAATGATTTTTATGTTATAAAATGGCACAAAAGAAAATAAGAATATTTTGTAGCACGTACAACTTATGTGAAATTATAATTTCAGTGTCTGTAAATAATGTTTTATCGGCCACTCACTCACATATTATCTGTGGCTGGTCTTGCCCTATAACAACTGAGTTGAGCTGGGGCAACAAGCACTGTCTGGCCCATGAAGACTAAATATTTAGTGTGGTTCATTACAGAAAATGTTTGCCAGCCCTGATCTACTGGATGAGGCTAATCCCTTGAAACCACTTTCTAAGGACTACTAATCTCAAGTTTCCCATCAATTTTTCACTTATGATAAAGTATCTCAATGTGCAATTTTAAGTGCATTTAGTTTTATTCATTTTTTTGTTTTTATTTTCTCCTCAGCGGAACTTTTAGGAATGTCAGGCATTGTTGCTTTGGCCACTGCAGGACTGAATTTAGATTCCTTATCCTTTAAACCAAGGACTGAGTTCATAATTACTAAGTAAGTTTCCTTTTGTGTACTGGTATAGATTTCATAGAAGTTTAGTGCTTAAGAAGTTCCACCTTCATAGACACTAATAATACTCATTTTCCTTAACTTTTTTCTACCTTTAAATTTGTAATTTTGCTATCAGTTATGTTTGAAAAAATTTAAGGTCCCAGCAGTCATTGACATTAATTGATATTCCTATTATGAATAAAATATCAGTGGCTCAGAGACCATAGTGGAGTTAATACACAACTCTCTGATAAAAATTCACTTTGAATCCTGGGAACTTTTTTTGAAGACTTTTTTTCTTTATTTTCTTCATAACATACCTAAATGTCCATATAATAATATGGGAAGAACTGGAAAAGTAGCAGAAAGATGCAACACCAGCAAAACTCTTAACTACTCATTAGTCCTAGTAATGCACAATGTTACATAAACATCTTGAACAGAGGAAAACCATCTGCCTGTCTTTGCAAAACAACAACAGCAAAACCAAAAAAGTTAGCCTTTCTTTGAAGAGACTATGATACATTACAGAATTTGTTTAGAATTAGTTGGAACCAAGTCATAGTCTAGTGCAGAAAGCAAATGTTGAAATAAGAAAAATTAGCCATAATCCTGAGTTTTTCCATGAAAATTAATTTGTTTAGTACTATCACTCTGAAATTGTGTCCTTCCCACATTTTTGGTCCTTACAATGTCCATTCTTTTGTGAAATTCCAGCGATAGAAGATGGTATATTCTTCTACATGACAAAATAAAAAAAATTGACACATAGCTATTCCAGTTAAATATGGAACTGGGTGTTTTTAGATCTGGTCAAATACTTTTAAATGTCAATTATAACACAGATTAAGGCAAGGACCTCTGCTAAGACAAGAACAGTAGCTACAATAGACATGCTTTTATGTTAAAAGGAAAAATGCTTTTATGCTTTGCCTAAAGTGTCATTTCCTTTGCATTCCTCCTAGGTACTTACTAATGTTTGCAACTGTATACCAGCATTTAATATATACTTTCTTTGGCATCGTGATTGGATGTGGAGAAATCAAGCATTATAGATTTAACACCATAGTTTTCATTTTCATTTTATTTGTAGTAGTGAATATGACACGGTAAGAATTACTTTTTAAAGTTCATTTACTGAACTTAGCTTCTTGAGCCCAGAACTAGAATTGGGAAGCAGGGGTGTGGAGCAAAAAGGGCTTTGGGCTTAGAGTGAGGAAACCCATAATGTTGTCAAGGCCCTGATGATAGCTTGCGGTGCAACTTGGGGTGTTTATCTTTAAAGATTTTATCCATAATATGAGAGAGGGTAGACCAGCAGCATCAGCATCACCCTCAGCTTGAAAGAAATGCAAATTCATGGGCCTATCCCAAGCTATTGAATTGAATCTCTAAAGATGAGATCCAGGAAACAGTGTAACATGCTTTCTAGGTGGTTTTATGCATGTTAAAGTGTGAACATCACTGGACCAGATTAGTGGGTCTTAACATTTTTGTTGACTCTCATCATTGTTATCATCAATAGCTATAATAAAACCATTTGTTAAGTATTTGTCATGTACAAAATGCCATCAATATAAATACAACCCTGTGAGATAGGCATTATTGCACCATTCACAGATGAAGCCCAGAGAGCTTAAAAACTTACCTAGATTAACCCAAGAACAGAGTTGGGATTTGAACCTGACTCCATGAGCATGCTTATTCTTGAATGCCATTGCCCATTTGTAGTAGTTTTGCCTCTGAAAAATCTGTCACTTCCACTCAGATTGGTGGCCAAGGTAGCTTACCTTATAATACGTTTCCATAGAAAATTGCTTCTATTGACTCCAAGGCACTGCTTGCAACTCTCACACAGGAAGGGTATGTACACGGTTGTGTGTGCAACCCCACCCCTCACCACATCAATGTTGGGCCTAACATGGGTGCCCGCCTGCTGTGCCTATGCAGCTGTCAAATCAGTCACTATTTGATGTCACCTTTTTTCTAGCTCTGTCTGGACCTCTTTAAAAGTTGTTATTAAATTTGTTATATAATCTGTGAGCTTCTGTTTCTTTCTGAGTCCCAATTTTATCCCCCAAATTTCAGCTTAACACTTGTTAGCTTTATAACTATATGACTTTGGGCAATTACTTAATCTAAGTTTTAATCTACTTATCTGTAAGATGGGCATAATAATAGAACCATCTCAAAGGGTTGCTATTCAATGAGGTAATGCAGAGAGGCAATGCAAGTACAAGAGTTTAGCACTGTGCATGGCACATTGTTAATGCGCAGTAAAGTTTGTTTTACTATTATTTTGGCTATCCTATTTTCTCAGGATAGGAAAGAATTTTAGAGGCTTCAAAATAATAAAAGAATTCCCGAGAAATTATCAGTAGATTTTTTTTATTTCTTTTCTTTTTTTTTATTATAAAGATGTGGGGTACAATTCAGGGCTAGGTGTACAAACGTTGATTACGCAGGTGCCCTTGTTGATGAGGTGTGCCCGTCCCTCCCCTGGCAGTTTCCCTCAGCTGCCAATCCCACCCCTCTCCCCTGACAGTTTCCCACTACTGCCTTATACTGCCAGTACTTATAGTATTATAATTGTTCAAGGTCCGCTGATGAGTGAGAACATATGGTACTCTGCTCTTTGTTTCTGTGATAGATCGCTGAGTATGACTGACTCTAAGTCCATCCAAGTTTCTGCAAAGACCATATGTTTGTCCTTCTTTATGGCTGCATAATGTTCTATTGTGTATCACTAGATTTTAAAACAAAACAATATTAACACAAAGCATAAAAACAAGCCATTTCATTCTTTTATTCATTTAACAGATATTTATCAAGCATCTACTAACTGCCAGGCGATGTTCTAGGTGCTTAGGACACTTCAATGGACAAAATAGCCCTTGAAAACAAAACTTTTTGCAATCACGGAGTTTGCATTGTCATAGGGCTTTTTGAAAAAACCCCAAAGCATGTTAAATAGTGAATATAATCTATGAGAAAGATTATGAAAAATAACCAAAGCAGGACGAGGGAGTTGATCGTGCCAGCATTGAATGGGGGCTGCATTTTAATCAGGGCAACCAGAGTGGGGAAAGGGACTTTTGAGAGAAGATATGGAAGAGGGAGGGAGCAGGCAGTAGCAAGGAAAGCTGTTTGGGCGGAGACTCATCCCTGCACAGGCCCTGAGGGAGGCAGACCTGACTCCACACTTGTAAGGAGGCCTTGGGCACCAAAGCAGGGAGAGGGACAGCAGAAGGAGGTGAGGCTAGAGGGGTGATTGTGGAAAAAATGACGGAAGACCCACACATGAATGCTTCTGTGGGCTAAAAAACACCTGGAAGGATGTATACCAACACTTTGAGAGTGGTTCCTTTCCTCTGGGGAATAGGATTTGTGGAGGGGAATAAAGTCAGGGCATTTTGGCTTCTGACAATTTTATATACATCTTTACTATTTAAAATTTTATTTATGGCTGAGTAATATTCCATCGTGTATATGTAACATATTTTCTTTATTCAGTCCACTTTCAATGGGCAGCATGGTTGGCTCCGTGTTTTTGCTATTGTGAATAGTGCTACAATAGACATGCATATGCAGATATCTTTTTTGTGGAATGATTTGAGTTCCTCCAGGTATATTCCCAAAGGGGAATTGCTGGATCATATGGAAGGTCAATTTTTAGATCTTTTAGGAATCGACACACTGTTTTCCACAGAGACTGTACTAGTTTGCACTCCCACTAACAGTGTAGAAACATTCCCTTTTCCCCACATCCTCTCAAATACCTGTTGTTTTTTGAATTATTGATGATAGCCACCCTGACAGGAGTTAGGTGATATCTCTGAGTGGTTTTAATTTGCGTTTCTTTGATGATTAATGAGGCTGAGCATTTTTTCATGTGTCTGTTGGCTGCCCGTATATCTTCTTTTGAGAAGTGTCTATTCATATCTTTTGTCCACTTTTTAATAGGATTGTTTGTTTTTTTCCTTTCAGCACATTTGAGTTCCTTGTAGATCCTTGATGTTAGGCCTTTGTCAGATTTACAGTTGGCAAATATTCTTTCTCATTCTGTGAACTGTCTTCCGACTCTCTTGATGGTATTTTTTTTTTTATTGCTTTGCAGAAGCTTTTCAGTTTGATGAGGTCCCAGTTGTCTATCTTATCTTTTATGGCATTCACTTTTGGAGAGGTGATCAGAAATTGGTTGCCTATTTTATAGTTTGAGGTTTTACATTTAGGCTTTTGATCCATGCAGAATTTTGTGTATGGTGATAGGAAAGGGTCCTTTTACAGTCTCCTACATGCGGGCAGCTAATTTTCCCAGCACCATTTACTGAATAGGTTCTCTCCCCAGTGATTGATGGTGGAGGCTTTGTTGAAGATTGCGGAGGTCTAACCTCCACAGAGCAGGGCCTGAGGTAGGGGGAGAGAATGAGAAAGAAAGACAAGAGAAAGCGGGATTGGGAGGTCTCTCTCCTCAATAGGTGAGAGCCCGTTTATTATTTACCATGCTTTTTATGTAGGGCAAAACTGTACAAGGGATTATTCTAAAAACAAGTAGTATCAGTTTTTGGGCCAGGCATCTGGGCCAGGTGTGATTGACATCATGTCACTTTGTTTTATTATAAAGTAACAAATTAAGGTTAGGGGACATGAGTGAACCACAGTGGAATTACGTTGTTACTAGAAGGCGAGTTGTTTTGCGTTTATCTTCTTGTACCTAGGGCTTTATTATAGTTAAGACTTTATCTGTACTATGTGTACCAGGATGTGTGGGCATTCAAGACTCTGTTTTGTGTAGCAGGCTGCATTCCTCACAGCCTGCCTTTGGCTAGGATGCAGAGTTTCTAAGCGAGACCTTGCCTATGAGCTTGGGGTACTCAAGGCCTGCTACGTTTTATGTAGCAGGCTGCATCCCTCACCTGCTTTTGACTAGAATGCAGATCTTCCAGGCGAGACTGTTGCCTACAAGCTTGGGGTACTCAAGGCCTGCTACAGTGGCAGTGCCTGTCTGCTCCCCACATCACATCTGTTTTGAGATGAGGGAGTATAGGCTTGTTTCCTTGAACACAGGCCAAGAACACAATGACCTTGTCAGCTTATGCTGTGGTCTCCTTCAGAAGATGAGTTGGTTGAGAAATTGAGGTTTTGCTTCCGGAATCTCTGACCCATTCTATTGGTCAGTATGCCTGTTCTTATACCAATACCAGGCAGTTTTGAAAATTATGGACTTTGCAGCAACTTGGATGGATTTAGAGTCCATAATACTCAGTGATCCATCACAGAAACAAAGATCTGAGTACTACATGTACTCACTCATAAATGGACCCAGAATTTTCATAATAATACTATAAGAAAGGGATTGGCAGTAGTGGGACATTGCAGGGGGTGGGAGGGAGGGCACATAACATCAATATGGGTATCCAAACTTTATCTGCACAATAATCACTTACGTACCTAAACCTGAATGTAACACACATCTTTAAAATAAAAATAATGATAATTAAAAAAATATCCATTCTTTATGAATTAAAAAAAGAATAAAATAAAAATTTTTCGGAGGAAGCGGCAAGATGGCGACGAGGCAACGCGGTCTGTGAAGCCCTCTGCAAAGGAGATCTGCAGTGGGTCTCTGACTCTCGCCCTGGGGGGCTACAGACCCCAGCAACGCAGCCTGTGCTTCATATGGAGCTCGGCCATTGCCACCGCTGGGGCATCGCGACAGACTGGACAGTCACTGCGGCACAAATGGTGCCGCCGCAGCCACCCCCCCGCCACCGCTGCCACCGCCGTCACCACCACGGCTGCCACGGCCTCCGTGATGGCAGTAGCACATTGTACCACCTGGGCCGGAGGCGACTCACTTCAAGCCACTTCAGGGAAGATCTGCTGGGATCGCTGCCACCTCTCCTGCAACTGAGAAGTCCTGCCCGGCCGCCGTGGGTCTCCTGTTGTCTGCCCTGAGTCAGGCAGCCATCTTGTTCCTGTCTGGCCCCACCCCCTCTGGGGCGATCAGCTGAGATAGCACCACCTGCTGGTGATTCAAGGTAACAACACCAAAACGGGAGAAACAAGC